GTTTGAAATTACAACAGAAGGAAAAAAGATTACTGTCATCATACCAGATTTGGCTAAATGGGAAAAATCTAACATTGCCGGTCTGCTTCCTGGAAGGGAAGGTCCTGAAATAAGTGGATTTTCCAGACATAAGCTAAATTTGGTTTTATTTTAGAAAGGCAACAAAAAGGTTTAAAAACCCATTTTAAAGACAGTTATCTCTTCCGCCAGAGACTTTTACTTTTCCCTATGGTAAGGACATCTATTCCCATTTTCTGCACTCGTTACAGTGCACTTTCCACATTCTATTTTATTCCTAGAAATAGGGCTGTCACAACATCAGGAATAGCAAGCAGGAAGTATGTCAGTAGTCACATAGATAAGGATAGATATGCTACTTGGGTACATATGCACACATATATTTACACATAGGCACGTGTCTGTGCTGAATATATACCTACATATAATAAAGACATGGGGTGACGGTGACACACAGATACAATATGTCTTATACCTATCCAAACACTCCATGGTATTTGGATAGCTTACTTAAATCAGCAAACTTACTGATTTACTGGGTAAAGCTCAGGACCATACTCGCGTGAGTCTACATCTAAAGACTCACCACTGTTCTCATCCCGGCTGCCTTGCCCAGTTATATAACATAATAGTCCCTCAAATCTTGGCCAAAACTGGCAATAAGCAATTATTCTGTTTAGATATCACAGGATTGCTATAAAACCACCAGTGGCTAAATATCACTAGACAATCTTTTAAATACCTGTGTCACTACAATAGTTTAGGTATTTAGAAGACAAATCCTTGAAAAGTTAAATTTAGACTAACAACACCTACGCCCCCAAACTAATTTAATTTGGTCTATACCCTCTTATCAGAAAATTAAGAGAAGCAACACTTCCTGGCAATTATAACTTTTGTATTATAGTCCATAGTCCAGATTTAAGTGTTGGGTTCTATTTTTTGCAGCTCCCCTTCCACTCCCACCCCAGGGGAGGAATCTCACTCACTTTTGAGGAACACGAATTTAACAGAATGAGCCTATTAATGACTATGGGTTTCTTATACATTTGACCTGAAATGCCATATCACTCTAATTCCATATATATATGAGGCTTACACATTTCACCACCAATAATTTAGAACCCAGTCATTTTTATGATGAATCTAAATACAGGTATTTCTTCAAAAGTATGTTTTTGGCAGCATTCCTGCCTCCTCCCCACCTTTTCCCTGGGAATCCACCAACATGCAATGTGAAATCTGATGGTACTGTCTTCTAGAGATCCGAGATCCTGTTCAATCATCTCATTCTGCCCATCCCAAGCTTCTCTCTCTGCTGCTCAGATTGAGTAATTTCTACTGATCTCTTAAATTTCACACACTTCTCATTATCTTAATTTTACTGAAGGCAGTCCAGAAACTTTTACATTGCCATTTAATTTTCAGTTCTTAAAATTTGCCTTGTGCGTTATTTTTCTGCTGAAAACTTTATCATTGCTGTTATTTGAAATGTTTGCCCATTTTATTGTGAAGACATATACATTACTTAACAACCCATAAATATAAAACCTAGGGACATCACAATCTTCATGGGTAAAACTATTATCCCTTTCCAAATTATTCCATCCCATCATCAATACCAGAAACTCAAATGTTCCCCTGAAGCAAAACTCCTCCCTGCTTTTTTCCACCCTCCCTCCTGGCCCTTAGTCCCAGTCTCCTGGTTGATAGTTGCTTTAAAACTTTGCTCTGGGTTACCTCGTGATTAGTCCGAGTCGAATGGCTTTCCTTTGAGATATGTTTAGACTTTCCTGGTCCTTTGTTATACCTTGTAGGTCATTTTAATCACCTTTTAAAGAGTTGTTTCAGCAAGCTTCTAGTGCAGACACAATTCAAGTTCCAACCCAACTCCAGTGGCATCTGGCTGCACTGTCAGTTTATCAAAGCTTCTGCCACACTAACAACAGGTCAGTGCCCCTTCCTCTGCTGGCCAGTGTGGACCTGAGACATGATCGATGCCAGTTTCTTTCTATTCTGGAGTCTGAGCAACAGGGTTTCTCCGATGCCCTTTCACACCTCAGTTCTTCTGGTCAAAAGGGAGGCAGGGGCTGGGGGCTTTCCAGAGTTTTAGGCGG